TATTCTTTTCCAGGCTTGATCATGTGGAGGTATTTGGAAAACTGTTTTGGCCAGCGGACGACTGTTGTCTTGCAGAAAGTTAAATCAAATGTATGAATTTAACTTTTAACTCAAATGAATTAGTGTGAATCTGGATTAATTTGTGCAAACAAGAAAAATCTACAGCTTTTTGGTCTTGTGATTTAAGCTGGGAAGATTTATGTGTTGATGCTACCTGCTTCATCTCTACGACTGGCTGCTGAGTGATATTTACACCCTGGCTGGATTACAAACTTTAACCCCGTGCTCAACTTTGGCCCAGCATTGATACCTCTTGTTAGTATAATGACCTCTTCTTGGCTTAATGTATGATGGTGGATAAATGAAATATGCAAAGAAAATTTAACTATATTACAAAAGGACATCTATCTTGGAAACATCAAATGACTGGAGCATAACTTGTCAACTAGTCCGAAAATAAGTTATACAGGAACAGTCAAAGACGCACCTTCATGCTCTTCCAGAATTCAAAGTACAGGTTCATTTGAGTATTTAATGTACGGCTCAGCTCTACTGAATTTCAGAGTTTCTAGAGCAGACACAGAGCTCATGTCAAAACAGGCTTCAGGCGCCATTTTAGTGACTTTAACAATATTATAAATGTTAATATCGGTCTAGCTGACATTACGTTATGTACGCAGCACGCAATTGAACCACATATTTTAGAAGCCAAAGTGTTCTAACGTCACTCTCTCTACCTGTCATTTGGCTCGAAACACATATTCACAAATTGCTCAGTGATAAACATATAGTCAGATCATTTACCTAAGCAGTGTGCTTTGTCAAAACTAAGTAACTGTGTTGGTAATGAACACATAAGTATGTTCATTACACTGACATTCTGTTGTGCAATTGTTATTTACTTGTATTTTATAATTTGACTTTACATACTGTTGGGTGGTTTGTAAAGTTTACAATAACTAGTATTATCATTATGCTATATTTTCTAATATATATAATAATCTCAAAAGTAATGCCTTAAAGCCGAAAATAGTAATACTTTATTAAAATGTAAAACTAAAGTACAGTATTTGAATGTGTGTATTGTGCCTGCTGTTTGTTAACTCACCACATTCATAAATGTCTTAATAATAAATTCCATATTCTATTACCACATTATTTGTGATCAGTGGGTTTGCGGGGTTAGGGGTGTTGGGGGTAGGGTCTTTAGGCTTTGGCCCCCACCCCTGCCACCAGTATATTTTTAAGTATTTCTAACTTTTATTTGAATATTCAGTTTCCTACCATCTGCTCTTAAAGGGTAATCACCAGGTAACCCGCCCTCCCCCTTCGCATACACACAAACAAAACACACAGTATAATTCACAGCCTCATTATAGTAAATAAATATTTATGCCATTTTACACCATCAAACTTAGATTGCTAAGGATGAAGAACCTTTTGTTCTTTAAAGAACCATTTGTAATAGCTGAAGAACCATCTACAAAATAATAAGGTTCTTTGACGTATGATGGTTCTTTAGAGAACCATGAAAACATCTGAAGAACCATTTAAGAACCATGATTTTTCTAAGAGTACCTGCATTCCTCGTGATGTTCCGTGTTTACCTGTTCCCCCCTCAGGTCCTGATGAATGGTTTGTCCCATTGGATCTGGGTGTGGTGATGAAGGAGGGAGAGGAAGGCACAATTCCCTGCATGGTGTCCAACCCGAACCTCAATGTCTCGCTGTACGAGCGCCCCAGCAGGAGGCTGATAAGCGGGATGACATATGAGCCGGGGCGTGGCTTCACGGGTCACCTCAATGACACATCATACATGTGCATCGCCACAAACGGAGCTGAGGAGAAGGAGTCGCAGACGTACTACGTCTTCAGCATTATAGGTTTGTGTCTGTCTACCTTCTGATAATGTTTAGTTCACATTTATGCGGAAAGGTTGCCATTCATTCATAAACAAGTCATATTCCTACCTGTCTCCCCTGCTACCTGTATCATTTTTGTGCACCTGCGTATTTCAGTCCCAAAGGTAATGGAAGTGGACCTGACGGTGTCCAGCAGTGTGCTGAAGCAGGGCGAGGTCCTCACAGTAAACTGCACAGTTAGAGACACAGAGATGGTGTTCTTCTCCTGGGGCTTCCCCCGCAGACAGGTACCTGTCTGCCTTCCTGTCTGCTTACCCACCTGTACCTGTCTGTACCTGTCTGCCTACCTGTCTGTCTGGTGTCACCTAACTATGATGATTTTTCTTTGCAGGAAATTGAGCCGCTGACGGACTTCTTGCCCAATCAGATCCGCTCCTTTGTTAACATCACTGCAGCAACAGTGGCAGATTCAGGTAGGGCGCTCGGTGGCTCAGGTAAAGGTGTGCAGCTTGCTGAGAAACTGTGCTGAGGGAAATAATGCCGTACTGTTCCTGCAGGTGTTTATAGCTGCACGGTGCAGGAGACAACACAGGGACAAACTGTGATGAAAAATATCACAATAACAGTGCTGGGTCAGC